GAACAGTTTGCTCGTGTTCTCTTCTCAGGTAAACCCAGGGTCTAGTCGTCTTAGAGTTCGCTCCAGCCCGGCCGATCATCTTCTCGCCATCATGGTTCCGACAAAACAAACACTCATCGTTCACTTCAGCTCTCTACAACAAACACGGAAGTTATTAGCAAACGGCCATCTGGAATCTGGAAGGTATATCAAACTTACCTGTCTCCTCTTGAATTCGGCAACAAAATCTCTCCCCGCACGATCATATAGTTCTTTTGCCTCCTTCACGAAGACCACCTCGCCGGACTGAAGCTTCTTCCACGGTTTCCTCTCACTCGGGATCCTATCCAGCATTTTCTGGAGCCTCATCATCTTCCGCGCTCGCTTGATCCTCTCTCGGTCGCTGGATTTGCTGTTGAGCTCCTCGTAAAGCTGCTCGGTGAGTCTGATCAGAATCCGGAGCGCGCTAACACTCCAAGACTTTTCCTCGTGCTTCTCCTCTTCTGTTTCCTCGCGCTTTTCCTCTTCCAAGCTGCGGATCTTCTTCTTGGTTTTTCCCCTCTGGTTTAGCCACCGGTTTGCCTTGTGGAAAGCTTCGAGATACGCGAACTCAACATAGCCCCCTCGGCCATCGCTAAGATGGGTTTCACTCCGCCGTCGGGTGCCGTCGGGAAGAATGTCCTCCGCTGAGGAAGAGAAGCGAACCATCTTCGGCCTGGAACCTGCAAGTCCAGAAGGCCATCGTGAGTCACAGTAGAAGAAGAATGCGAGAAGCAAAAGGAACCATACCTGGACGACGACCCCCGGCTGGCAGTAGAATTGGCTTGGGTCGCTGCTCCTCCTGCTTGGGCTTGTCATTCTCCTGCTGCTTCATCTTCTCTTGATCGTCTTCCCGTTCCAGCTGCTGCTTCATCGGCTTGATCATCTGCTCCTCCTCTTGTTCCAGCTGCTGCTTCATCGGCTTGATCATCTGCTCCTCCTCTTGTTCCAGCTGCTGCTTCATCGGCTTCATCCGCTGCTCCTCCTCCTGTTCCTGCTCTTGCTTCATCGGCTTGATCGGCTTGATCGGCTGATTCGGCTGATTCTTCTCCTCTCGTTCCAGCTGCGGCTGCTCCTTGTGACCTTGCTCCTGTTTCACCTCGCGCCTGAGTTCCTTCGTCTCATGGGCTTCTTTCTCCTGCTCCTCCTCGCTCAGCTGCTCAGCTTTCTTCTCTTGCTCCTCCTCCTTCAGCTGCTTCTCGGCTTCCTTTTCCTCCTCTTCTTCCAGCTTCATCGGCTTCATCTGATCGGCTTCTTTCTCCTCCTCGTTCACCTGCTGGGCTTTCTTCTCTTCCTTCAGCTGCTCCGCTTTCTTCTCTTGATTCTCCTCTTCGTCCTCCTTCTCTTGTTCCGGCTTGATCGGCTTGATCGGCTCCTTGTGCCCTCGCTCCTGTCGTATCGCTTCTAAGACGATTTTCACCTCGTGCCTGAGTTCCTTCA